AAGATATAAGACTTTCTACAGAAGAGGAATGCTCAAGCATTACATATAAACGCAGAGTCAAATTATAGCTTTGGAGAGAACTCAGAATTCAAAATTACTGCTCCGATGCACACAACCACATGTAAAATTTGGGCAGCCCAGCTCAAAATTACATAGATTTTCTCAGTTAAAATAATTACACATCTGCTACAGGGAACATTTCAGCATACGCAAACGTTAGCTTGATCAAAAGTAATGGCACATTTCCTATTTTTTTCCCCCAATATGTTAAACTCAGCTTGTTTAAGTTTCTCTCTTGCATTTCTCTCCTGTCTCTGTCACGTTACATCGAACGAAGTGACATGAGCTTCCAATAAAGGATGGACGATGACATTCTTCTGGTTTTGAACCTTCACTCAGTTCCATTTTTCATTACATTTTCATTACATAAAATCAAAGAGCACCCTTCGCTTGGGCCCAATCCCATTTCTTCTTTTTACCGCTAGCACTTGTTCTCGAGTGTCACCCTAACCCTTTGGAACTGAGTTACAAGGGGTAGTGGTTGAAATCTTGCCCTACGAAATAGGATCCTCAAATAACTTCATTAACAGCTACTAACGCTGCTCTGTAGGTGACCCGGCCCGTCTTCAGTGATAGCAGAGGAGGGTAAAGTTGAGCTCCTCACTGCTGGGCTTTAGTTACATTTAGGGTATCATATGCCTTCAAAGAGGGGGGCAATTATTTATTGTCACCCACTCCTAGTTCTTTGGTGATACGAAGCTGAAGTCAGATATTCACCAGCTTCTTGTTCAAATTTTCCTGTTCCACCTTACATGGGTATGTTAGCTAGCTAGTTACTGAGACATTAGCATACTATTAATGATTTTTTTTTTCCCTTGTTATGAAGAAAAGGACCATAATGCACTGAAACGACATTAAACTAAGATAATACACTGGTTAACATATTGATTAAAGAAGAAAATTCTCACATTTGTGTTTCTTTGGTCTCTTGTTCAGCCGTCTTGCCGGTTTTTTCTTGTCTATTTGGAGTCTCTGAAAAACCTCTGTTTGGAGGGCCATGTAGCCCTAACACTTCACCCTACCCCTCTATCTCAACAAGAATTGGGACACACTACCCCTACATGTGAAAACAGAGGGCTGAGGGCTAAGTGGTAGGGGTAAGGGGGTGAAATGGGATTGGGCCTTAATGTCCAGTCAAAACTGCAATTATGTACAAGATATTAATTTACCAGGAGATTTTTCAGAGGAGAAAGGGAGTACCAAAGGAAGCTAAGTGCAAAAACCAAGGGTTTCCAAAGCTGGAGTTCAAAAAATGATTCAAAGTGATGGAGAAAATGAGACTCCTAACAACTACTCACAAGACCTGGTAGACCACCAAATATGTTCCCGTCAGATAAAAAGCATTTAAAGCTGTCTTTTAGAGAAAGGAGAAAAGCTCCACTCTTGATTCAGATCTAAAATCATCCACAGGTGTTTCTTTCTCAGGAGAAGTCTTTGCACTAGGCAAAGATAAGCAGCTGCCTAGAACCTGCGTAAGGCAGGGGCCCCATTAAACTGCATAAATAGGAAATACTGTACATGTTGATTTTCATATACTGTATGTGTTGGATCATTAGAAGCAGAAGAAGAAACTTCTAAGACTGAACTCTGAAGATGTGAAAAAATGTCCCAGGAGATTTATTTGAAAAACTGAAAGCAAAAAGAATGGGAGTTGTAACAAAGTCAAAGGGTGGACACACATGTCGTTGAGCCTTCTGGGCATTTTGTTAAATATGTCTTTAGTTAATGGCTGTTTTGACTATTCATTAAATAAATGTAAGGTGATCTCTGACTTTTGTCCTGTCAATAGCAGTTGTTTTGGAGTCATTTCTTTTGTTAGTGTGTCCATATGTTGGGATTACGCACAAAGGAATTATTAAACAAGTTGTTTGTCTTTACACACAAGGATCTATCAGAGACACACGAGTTTATGGCCAGTGCACAGTACATCTTTTGCATGTGTTTACATGCCTAGGAGCTATTGTCCTTTAGCTTATGGATGTATCAGTATAATAATGCAGCATGTGTACTCATTTTGCATGTGTTTACATGTTCAGGGCAGTAGAGACAAAGGTGTTATCATGGCATCATTTGCAAAAAAGTTGAGGTAAGTTTACTACCTCCAACAGAATATCAATGTTGGAATGAGGCAGACGGCAAAACAGGTAAACTTAAATCAGAATTACAACAATACAGCCTTGAAATATGACATCCACCACCATACTTCACAGGCCTGGATTGCTGGGTCCTTTTGCAGATCTTCATCCCTTTCATACAGTGCCCTACAAAGTATTTGCCCCTTCCTGATTTGTTTTTATAGTCTTGTTACACTAAATGGTTTAAGATCTTCATGCAAAATACAAAAATGTATTTTAAGACAACAAGAACAAGAGGAAGCAGAAAACAGTTTAAAATGATCACTTCCTCCATTCTATAATTTCTTTTCATCATGGCATAATGTGCTGCTTGTTAACGGATTTTAACCTATTTTGAATTGCTGGAAAGGTTCTATTTAAGTAATATTTATATTGAACAGGGGTGGCAGTGATAACGAATGAGTGTGTCTAATTTAATTGGTCCCAGTTATCCATGATACTAGCTATTTTAACAAGGTTCATAGGTCTTCTTGTGAAAATTCAGGCCCACAGTATCCTAGATCCTTAATCCGGTCAATAACTCTTCTTCTTGTAATGCCAAACCCACCTTGGATGTTTATTGCCAAAATATTTTGTATTTTTATCTCACCTGACCAAATAATGTGACTCCAGAAAAGTTACTTCATGTGTTTATGTTTGTGTTTAGATAAAAGGAAATACTTTCTTGTGATATGCCTTCTAAATAGTTTGTTGGTGAGGAGATGGCATTTAATCATATCTAATGGTACCTTCTGTCAGTCTCCAACCATGATCCATGGACACATTTTAACAAGGAAAACATGCATCCTCCTTCAGGTAGATTTACTACAGTTCCAGCTGTTCTAAACTTCTGAATTGATTTAGATTTTTTTCAGGCTGTAATACTGGGTTGGTGAAAAGATAAACCACAAGTTTATTAAAAGGAGAATGAACTGAAGTATTAGGGTTAACACCAGACCAGGTCAGCATCCAGATTAACCCACCACAATACACAGGCGAAGTCAGATAAACAAGTGAGGGTCGTAACTAAAAAGCAACATACAAGTAGACTAAGCCAAAAAGACAAACCCAAGAGGCTTTTATACAAGGAAACACAGGTCATGGTGATCAATATTCAGGTGACTGGGAACTGCTGGGTGGCTTGTGATTGGCTGATGGAGTCACATGACCGACGGAAGGATTCTGGGAAGTGGAGTCCATAACAGAATGAGAGTCCGAATGAGAACCAGGAAGTGTGATATTATTATTATTATTATTTTTTTACCGTTGCTTGATTAATGAAAGTGAAAGCACTTTTGTCTCATTTCATTAGTGGATTCTCTAATCTTCCCCATGTTGATGAACGACTAAGGGAACTTAGTGTTTACATGCCTTCGAGCTATAAGACATGTTTGTCCTTTAGCTTCTGGATGCATCAGTGATATGGCAGCATGTGTACTCATTTTGCATGTGTTTACATGTTCAGGCCAGGGGAGACAAAGACATTATCATGGCATCATTTGCAAAAAAGCTGAGATAAGTGCACTTCCTCCAACAGAATATTTTTGGGCTGCGGATGGCAAAACAGGTCAACTTTAATTAGTCTTACAACAAGAGAGCCTTGAAATGTAACATCCACCATCATACTTCACAGTGGTAAAAAAATATTTTTGTTTTGGTGTTCTTTGAAAAAATGTATATACTTATGATCCCTATCTTGCGTAATCCAGTGATCTCAGATCAGAACACTATTTGGGTTTCAGTAATTTTATGGTCTCCTGATTGGTGTCAATGCTGTTTGTCCAGTTGGTCAGTCATAGCAAATAGAGCCCTTAGACCTTTTACATATGTTTCCATCAACAATAAACAAATGTGTAAATGACTTCTGCCTTCACCTCCATCCGGATACTGCATCCCAAGGAGGAAACCCATCTGTGGTGTGGATTTCTGGAGGCCTGAATTGCCGGGTGCTTTTGCAGATCTGCATCCCATGTGTTTATCTTTTTAATTAAGATTTTAGGTTCCTTAAATAAAATTTACTTGGGGGCAGTCAAGGGTTGGAGGTTAGAGAACCAGCCTTGTGACCGGAAGGTCGCTGGTTCGATCCCCTGAGCCAACAGTACGTGACTGAAGTGCCCTTGAGCAAGACACCTAACCCCCAACTACGCCGTGGATAGGGCTGCCCACTGCCCCCTAGTGTGTGTGTTCACTAGTGTGTATGTGGTGTTTAACTGCATGGGTGGGTTAAATGTGGAGGTGAAATTTCCCCATTTTGGGACTAATAAGGGTCACTTAATTTTAATCTTAGCACATAGATGTCAATTTTATTTACAGATGCTAGTGGGATGCAGTGGTATGCTTTGAGAGCATCAACTTGTTTGCAACATAATTTTAAATAAATGAGCACATTACATACATTTTTATTCTGTGAAAGTTATTTTTGCATGGACCAATATTATTATTATTATTATTATTATTATTATTATTATTATTATTGCACTGGGGCTCATTAGATCCTAGTTACATCACTGCTCTCTTCATCATACACAGTTGACTGGATGAATGAAGACAAAAAGTCTTGCACTGAAATTAATTTTTCACCTTTATTTATATCGAGAGAGATAATGTAGCTTCCAGAATTGAATGCCTAATGATTACACATTATAAATGATGACATAACAGGTATGACACACAATCTTGAATATAATTTGAACCTCATGGTGTAATTTATGCATATGAAAATGCATACAGTGTTTACAAAAGAAACAAATAACAATAACAAACGAATAAAACTATAAAAGAAAATCTATAGCAATTAAAAATGACAAATGAGTCATCAACTTTATGCTTGAATCTCATTCTTAGCATGATAAGCTTAGATTAACCATGCAAAATATTTAAAATGGTAACTAAGTTGAAGGAGAAAATAAGTGAGGAAGGAAAATTCTGCAAACCAAACACACCAAACTCTATTTAACATGTAAATATATTTCATGTTGAAAGACCCATTTTACCCTCTATTATGTAAAGAAGCACAAAAAAACTAGTAAAAACTGTAGAGCCTCTGATGCTGGGTATGCTCTTTGAAGAAGAGGAAGCAAACCTGCTTTCAGTCTTCATTTTTGGGAAGAGAAAGACAAAAAATGCAATATTTAATGCAGTCTATATCAATATTTCAGTAATACAGTAACACACAGAGTAACTAACCTTCATAGGTGGTGCAGATGAAGTTGAGTTTCTGGTTCTCAGGCAGGCTGACCCACTGCTGACCTCCTCTAGACTGCACCACTCCGGTTCTCTCTACAGGGCTGCAGTCTTCTTCTCCTGTCCCGTTACCTGGAGCCCAGTTCTGGTAGCAGATAGACTCTCCATCCACCCAGAACCAGAAGCTGAGGGTGCAGGTGTGACGCAGACCCAGCCACACATGTTCAGTGGAGGCTTTCTGTGCCACCTCCTTCACCCAGAGCTGGATCTCCTCAGAGTGAACTGAGACCAGATCCACATGATTCACCCTGCAGTATCTCAGAGCTTCTCTCCAGGTCAGATTCTGATTGATCAAGATCAGCTTATCTGGAGACCAAAGGAAAAATCAAAAGATCAGTGAATGCAGACATTCAGTGTCTTCTCACAAACCACATTCTGATATAAGTTTGCTTTTTTTGCCGTAAATAAACATGTTATTGAAGAAGTGAAATGTAGCTCACATTCACGGCAGATGAATGGAATCTTTTCTGCACAGTTCACATCATACCAGCGACCCATGGCATCTTGTGTAGTCATGGACACTGCAGCACAGTTCTCATTTCCATTATCTGGCTGGTCAGATGCCCAATATCTGAATGAGGAGGTGCTCTGATCTGACCACTTCCAGGAATCGCTGAATAGGCCGATCCAAAACAAATAATTCTCTAACGCTTTTCCTGCTGTGTAGATCTGCTGGTTCTCAGTCTGGTTCCTCACACTGGCCAGATCTTTGTAATGTTCTCTGCAGTAGCTCTGAGCTTTACGCCAGGTCACACTGCTTTTAATCAATATGTATCTGTCAGTGGTTGTCTTTTCTGCTAAGAGACATTTAATTTACCTTATTAAATACTATATTTATGTAATACTCAGTATGTAAATGATTTTCAGAATTCACCAAATAACATTTGCCACAAGAGCAGAGGAATGAAAATGACCCTTTATCAGTATGTGCTCACCATCATAACACATAAATGTGCGTGGTGTATCACAGTTATCATCGATCCAGGTTCCATCACGATTCTTCATTGCGACACAGAACTCCTTCCCACCATTATTGTTTGGCTCTCCTTGGCTCCAGTTTCGGTAAGCATCTCCCTCACTGTTGAAGTTTCCCGCTGCCAGAGACCACTGCCATTTCCAGGTGTCCCCCTTTTCCAGACCAATCCAAACAAGGCTTCTAGCTTTGTCTTTCAGAGTAGCATTCAAGTTCTCCATCTCCTCCATGTTGTTGATGGTGGCCAGTTCAGTGTTCATCTGTCTGCAGTAACTCTGAGCTTCAGTCCAGGTTTTATTCTCATTCACAAAGAGATATTGATAAGGAACAGATGCAGAAACACCACAGACAGCTGTGAAAAACAAAAGTTATTAATTAGTAATAATTAGTGTTAAACTGCAGTAATAAGTTAAAAATTAGTAATGATTAGTGTTAAACTGCAGCAGAACAGAAATATAATTGTCTTAAAACACTTCAGTCCAGCCTGCAGTGCATCCAGATCAAGCCAGAAACACATAACACAGAAATGTCCCTTGTATGCACTGTACATGTGCATAAATGTAAATAACAAGTTGAGGACATTTTCCAGACAGCCATTAGATGTACAGGAGAGCGGGGCACAAAATAATTCTTGTAGAACTTAAATTTAGTCATGTTCCCGATTTCCCATCTCAAATCTGCGAATAGTGACAGCAAACAGACTGATATTTCTCCCTAAACACAGTTTTAATGCAAAGTCATAAGTGTTTTTCTGTTCTTAAGATGTGTATAAGTCACAAACATCACTCAAATATTATTGTATTATATTGATTACTGTACTTAATTCGTTTAAACAGTAAGGAATTATAGAAAAAGAAACTTATTCAGACTTTAGATATTTAAAAACATGTTATTACGATCTACTTAAACTCAAATAATCATTTACAGGGTACTTCTTATTTAAAGGCATGTGTCCCAAACCCTAAACCCTAAATTTACACTTGCAAAAATAATGTTTCTGGTTTTTCATTTCTTATTATTATTTGCTAAACATGAGCAAAATAGACAGTAAAAATGTAACTAAAGTATATTCCCCACTCATATTTACATATTAAAGTTAACCTGAGAGATTTTGAATACTTAAATGGTCAGCCAGCAATGGTCAGCTTCTTGTTTCACTGGGGTGATATAAAGGACAAATTCCTCCAGTCAGCCATCACTAAGAAAAAGACCAGAGAATACAGCAATGATGCTGCACAAATATCTGCCGGGAGGAGGAGAATGCCTATACCGACCCCATGCTCAGTGATTTAAATTTGAATGCATTTTTTATGTATTTATGTTATAAAGATTATCTGTTTAAGTAACATTGGTTATTTTAATATTAATTTCTGTTTGGCATTGCTATACTGGACATTTTACCATCCTTTATAGCTAGTCCCTTCATCTAAGTTGCTAATTTGCTTATATACATCAGATGTTGGAAACAAAGTTTGCTTTAATTCATAACAGAGATGTGTAGGTTTGCATGCATTAAAAAAAAATAAATAAAATATACATTTTTGTGCCCCACTCTCTCCTTTTAGTTGGACTAAGTAAAGCCTTTAGTAAAGAAAGTGCCCACTGACCTGAGAACAGCAAGACTGTAATCCATTTCAGATCCATTTCTGAGAAAAGCTCTTTCACCACCTCGATGTTAAGATCATGCAATAAGAATTATTATCATTTCATAACATTACTACATTTAAACTAGGAAGTAATGATGATCACAGTAATGAGAACAATTGAAAATATTCATACTCACAACATAGACATTAATAAAATCCTACTGGGAAAACGTTCTTTCTTCCTCCGTGTTTGTAACAAATATACTTGTAGAAAAGTAAATGTCTCTGTTTTTCTCCTCCGTGATGTGTTTCTGTTCCTCTTCTCCTCACGTTATGATCATATACAGTATTTTGTCTCTGTATATCTCGTTGGAAATGCTCCGCCTCTGTTGCATGCAGTCCTAGACAGATACCATCAAAGTCTCTTGTTTTACTCCATCGGACATTGCAGTGACAGTTGAAGAGGAAACGTAAAGCTCTTTGCATGAGATTGTATCAACTATGCGGGAATGTCAAAGGTTGATTTACAAAACAAATTGACCGCACTGTTTCCTTTCCAGGCCTTTTAGAAGCCCTTAAAGAACAAAATGAATGGCTTTTTCTTGCTTTTCATGTAGGTCAGAGGCACGTATGTCAGTTACAACTGTGAAATGAGTCTATTGGAGGCAGCCCACAAAGACAGGGGTCAAAACACAGGAAACTAAGTTGTGTTCAGATCAGACAAATTGCTGATTGCTGATCAACCCACAAACTACTAAAAATGGTGCATAACATTTTAAGATTAAATGTGCCCTTGATAACATGTATCAGTTACAATCTCTTTATAAAAATGCAAATAATTGTAACACGTGGTTTTGTTACAACAAACAAACAAACTCAAAACCATCAAAGATTTACATCATGAACTTGTTAATCTCAAAGACATTTCTTCTTTTTGTTTACCAAGGGTTTTAAGCTTTAGGGCCCTAGCCCTATTAGGTATGTTTGTTTCTCTGTTTTTGTCAGTTCCTCTTTCAGTTGCTGTAACTCTAGTAATTATATGAGACAGCCACATGCTATACGTTATTTTATTTTCAGAAGACATGGGGCTTCTTAAATATGTAATCACTTGAGATGTAAATGCCCACAGAAGGTTGATATTTTTATGAAACTGGACATTTTGATCAAAATTTTACTAAGTGCCTGTTTTTTATTTTACTTATTTTTGAATGCACAATTCAAAAAATCAATTCACACCTTATATGTCTTTTAAAAATGGTTAGAATAAAGTGTCTATGAGTTGAAAATATAAGAATTTTGATGATTGTTCATTACATGGCTTATTACTGTGACATAATATATGAGTAGCATCAGGCGGACTTATTTTTCTTGATATTCTCACCTGTAGGATACATGCAGATTGCTAAAACTCTGAAGGTGCGCGCACATTTCTTCAGTGTGCCCAGCTGGATGCAGGCGCATGCGTTGAACGTGCTGCTGTGAGGAGAGCAAGCCCTAGAAGTAAATAATAGTAGTGGAAATAAAGCAAAATGTAGAGTTTATGAGCACAGAAATTGAGTTTTACTTGAAGAAAACATAAACTTGCATCATGCAAAGCAGAGTTGGACAGAGAGTGACAACGACCATGTAACCAAGACGTAACAGAAGAAGAAGCTCTCTCTCCTCTCCCAACATAGCACTTTAGTTCTTTTAATTTTGTTTTGTTTTTTGTGTGTCAGTTCGCTGCATCTTTGTTCAGTTTGTTTTGTTTTCATTCACTCGGTAATCTTGAAGTGTTGGTAACTGCTAGACTGTGTTTACATGTAGAATAGCTGCATCTACCTGCATTTGTTTCAAACATCATCGATTCATTTTGGATGTCTAATTGGTAACAATAGGTCACTGCAAACTCTGCAAACATAGTTTAAGAGTGAGCAAGCATTGACTGAATGCCATCCAGTTACAGAGGTTGCTTCCATGGGCCCACTGTAGACTGCGGCCTGACGTCACCAGCCTCTGCTGAGAGCAGAACTAGGAGAGACTGTGAGACAACGAAAGCCAACGAAGTTTCACCGTGATCATCCATCCAGGCCAGTCTTGTGGTGTTCTGGGGTAATGGCCCATTGACTCCGCTGTGACCCATGGATGCATCCCATGCAACCTTGCGACTCTCCTTAAATCCCAAGGCTGTATGACACTCTAACTTCTTAAATGGCTTAGTCGTGCGTGTCACTCTGTCCACCCCTTTTAATCTAAACTTAGGTTATTCAATAGGTCATTGTTTGTATATTATTCTGCTTGCTGGTCAAGCACCATATGATAATTTTGAGGCCCAGCTAATTACAGCATTACCTCCAGTGTTCTCTGCATAAATGTTAACCTAATGTTTAGTGACTATATACCTTTTGTAATCTATCATTTATTGCTTTTAAACTTTTATCAGTAAATGATTCTTTATTAAAGTCATCACTGGTGGGTCTGTGGGTTGATTGATCACTGTCTGTGGGCAAACCCTAACCTGAGATTAATGTGAGTATCTGTGTTTTAAGGTGAGGGGGAAAATAGGTGGTTTAAGTGGCTTTGTCCCACTACATATGCAAATCAATTCATGTTTTTGTAATTTAATGAAAGTAGTTTTCACATGCGGGCATTATTATTGTTATTATTTTATTTGTTCATTTTGTTTTGTTTTGGGGTTTTTTTTGCACTGGGTCTCATTAGATTCTAGTAACAGCACTGGACAGTAAATAATACATAGCTGATTGGAATGAATGGAGACAAAAATTAACCCTACAGACTCTGATGGATTTTTTTAACATTTCTTTAAATTTAAAGAAGAGATGAGACACTTACAACTGAAATTCATTCTGACTACTTATCAAAAATCATGCTGTGACATAACAGGCATGCAGAGAATGTGATTAGAAATACAGTCTAATGGCAAGTACTTTATGCATCAAAAAATCCCACTGTAAATAATATTAATTTAGCTCAGCTAAAAAATATGAAGTAATGGATGATATTGTTTTTCTTGAGTTAACTCCATTTGATAAAAAGAGAGTTTTCCTGACTCTTTTTCTTATTTTCCAGTTCAGTAAACGATTGAGAACTTGGTTTTTTACTCAGTTTCTTCATTAGCTGGGACTCTTTTTATCACACAACCCCACCATTGTCTCTTGTGCTTACAGTCTTGGACTGCTGTGGGATCACAAGAGTTAAAACTCATGATCTCCTGATGTTGGGGTGAATGATTAGACTGTTGTTTGCATGTGGTGCCGTGGGCTAAGCATTCATCTCCACCAGAAGGTTGTGAGTTTAAACTCCAGGGATTCCACACCAGTCCATAATTGGGGGACCATGAAGAGAAAATACCTAGTGGTATAGTTCAGTCCCAGCTGGCAGGGAAAGGGAGTGGAAGCATATATTCTATGTTGTTTACCAAACTGAGATGCAGAGTTAGTTTTGGAGAAATTTTTTAACTGAACTAAGAAGTTTAAGTTGAAATCTAGAGTGTTCTCAAGCTGAGTTAGCTCAAAAAAGCAATGTATTCAGTTACCCTGTAATTAGAAGTTTATTTTTTAACGGTGTACAGTTGAAATACAATTATAAAAAACATAAAACCAAGTAGAACAAATATGTTTGACAATAACAATTGGAAAGAAAAAAAGTTTAATCATGAATCTCTTGTTCAGCACTATAAGATTAGTTTAACATATGTTTCAACCTTTAAGATGGTACCTTGTAACTTAAACTATATGAGAAAGGTTAAATCTGCATAATAAACACAGTGAATTATAAACATGTAAATGTATTTCGTACTGACAAACCCATACAACCCTGCATTATGTAGGAAAGCACAAAAATAGTAAAATTGGGGATCTGTTGATGCTGAGTATGGAAGAGGAGAACATCTGGTTTCAGTCTTTAAGGAAAAGAAAGACAAAAAAAGAGGGTTTACAAATGTGTTTGCATTAAAATTCCAGCAACACTCAAATACACTAACTAACCTTCATAGGTGGTGCAGATGAAGTTGAGTTTGTGGTCCTCAGGCAGACTGACCCACTGTTGTCCACTAGACTGCACTGCTCCGGTTCTTTCTACAGAGCTGCAGTCTTCTCCTCCTGTCCCGTTACCTGGAGCCCAGTTCTGGTAGCAGATGGAAAAACCGCTAACTCAGTACCAGAAACCTTGAGTGCAGGTGTACCACATACCCAGCCACACATGTTCAGTGGAGGCTTTCTGTGCCACCTCCTTCACCCAGAGCTGGATCTCCTCAGAGTGAACTGAGACCAGATCCTCATGATGATCTCTGCAGTATCTCAGAGCTTCTCTCCAGGTCAGATTCTGATTGACCAAGATCAGCTTATCTGGAGACCAAAGGAAAAAGTGAAAAGATCAGTGAATGTAGACATTCAGTGTCTTCTCACAAACTGCATTCTGTTATAAGTCTGGTATTAGAGTCTGGTATTAGAGTATCCAAGATCTTCCCTTTATGACAAAAGATATAATTAAAAATTAACCTAAATCAAATATTTTTTTAATGGCATAAACACATTACTGAAGAAGTGAAATGTAGCTCACATTCACGGCAGATGAATGGGAACTTTTCTTCACGGTTAACATCATGCCAGTAACCCATTGCATCTTGTGTAGTCGTAGACACTGCAGCACAGTTATCACTTTCATTATCTGGCTGGTTAGGTGCCCAATATCTGAATGAGGAGGTACTCTGATCTGACCACTTCCAGGAGTCGTTGAATAGGCCGATCCAAAAATACTCATAATTTAATGTTTGTCCTGCTGTGCAGATCTCCTCGTTCTCAGTCTGGTTCCTCACACTGGCCAGATCTGTGTGATGTTCTCTGCAGTAGCTCTGAGCATCATGCCAGTTCATCCCACTTTCAATCAATATATATCTTTCAGTGTTTTTCTTCTTTTCTAAGAAACATTAAATTTACCTTATTAAAAACATACTCATCATGTAAGTTATTACCTTCATAATTCACCAAATAACATTTGCCACAAAGACAGAAGGATGAAAAAGATTCACATCTATCAGCTAGTTAGAATTCTGTGTTTTCCAGGACTAGTTTCTAAGTTGATGATGTCACTCATTACCATGTATCTGTATGTGCTCACCGTCATAACACATAAATTTGCGAATTGTATCACAGCCGTCATCGATCCAGGTTCTGTTAGTTGCTCTCATTGCGACACAGAACTCTTTTCCCCCAGCATTGTTTGGTTCTCCTTGGCTCCAGTTTCGGTAAGCATCTCTCTCATGGTCCAAATTTCCATCTGCCAGAGACCACTGCCATTTCCCAGCATTCCCTTTTTCTAGGCCAATCCAAACAAAGCATATAACTTTGTCTTTAAGAGTAGCATTCAAATTCTTCATCTCCTCCATGTTGTTGGTGGTGG